AATTGTGATCTTTCTCACTCATGTTGAACAACAAAACTTTCAGTAAACAGATGATATGTAATCATTTAAATAGATCATGTTTTTTTCAGGTGTTGATGCTCTATCTTTTAGTATATTGCATAAAAAAAAATTCTCTGACTTGTTGAAGCATAATCCTAATAAATATTTATGGGATGATTTTTGGCTATTTTCTTGATAGTGCTCAAAAGTTGGTATTGAATAACTTTACTATAGTACTACCAAATGAACTAATAATTTGGGTTTAGTGGTCTCAGACATAAAAAATAAAACATTGAAATTTTGACCAGTGCCTCGGTTGACGTGCTCTTAAATTTGAAACTTATGATAATAATTTCAGATCAGAATTTCTTGAAATAAACAAGAAAATTCTTATTTTGTGGCGTAAAAGATCGCAAGTCTTAAATATATTTTCTTCAAAATGATTATTGTTGGTATTATCGACATAAAAAGAATTTCTGTTCTCAATATTTTAAGATAATCAGAGTCCAACTGATAGTATCATACTTGAAACTTATGACCATTTAATCAATAATTATTTAGAATTATTTGTGATACTCGTAGTTAGATAGATAGCTTCTGATTGTTGATACATGCTATTATGATAATTCAATTCAAATTTTAAGTCTAAAATGTACAAACAAGTTTTTTGCCTCATTTTAAAAAAAAATTCACACATAGTACATACATTATTTCAATTGGTTAAAGAAAGCGGAGGCAAAAAACTCGACATGATGTTATTTTAAAAAAAAAGAAAATAAACAATCAAATTTAAGATCGTAAAGAGTTAAGGAGTCCCATCAAAAAAGTCACTTTTCGCTAGAATCATTGAAATTGAGATGAATACATGGGGAGATAGCCTGTCATTTACTCTTTCATAAATGATAAAAAATTTTCTTCAATACGTCCTTTTTTCCGAAAAATTTTCAAGATTTTTGACAACCCCTATTTGAAAAGTCAGCGGTTTTTGGAAAATCCAAAAATCTTTTTCGTTTTGACTCAAAATGGTGGTCGAACGATGCATCTCCAACGAAAGTCAAATATTTTTTTTTGTTTGAAAGAGTATCAAAAACTGCAGTACCTATAGAAGCCCCTTTTTTTTGATAAAGCTTTGTTATTATTATATTGATAAGCAATTTTATAATATGAGCGCCATTTTTTTGACAGATTTTTCAGTGATTGAATTTTCAGGCCTTTTTTTTTATACCAGAAAGATAAGAGTAAAAAAGAACGGGCCCTCATAGGTACTGCATCCTTTCAACTTGTTTGGCTCGTATCTCCCTTATGCATTAGGATAGGAGGCTAAAAATTTTACCACAGACGTCCTTTTACAGCTCCAACATATCATTAAAGTTTCATGACATGTGGATGGCCTTAAATGATGCAATCGAGAAATATTGAGATTATCATTTGTATGAAAATAATTCGATAATAGAAAGAAAATTTTGTTGAACATAATCATTTATTCATAGAATAAGTTACATGCACGTATAGAATTTCATATGATGTCACTAGTCGATTCATCATACTTTTTGCTATTCTTTACTGTTCGATATGCATGAATGATTATTATAAATATTAAAACATATATATGAACTAATAATATTCATTTGTGTTAGGTAACAACGTAATTCTTAGAAGTACTTAAATAAAAGTGACACCATAAAAACACAATAAAAATTTGATGCTAACTAAGAAAAAAACAATGTGGCGTAGGCGTCGTCATTCGCTTCGTAATTGTATTATTTTTGTTATATTACTAGTACTTATGTTTACAATTTTTTTGTCCTTTTCTTCTCCATCCACTTTTCGATCAAAAGATTGGTTATATACAACACAATTATCAACTATAAAAACTACTTCAAAATCTATTCTAAGGTAATTAATATATAGTTAAAACAAGAAACTAATATATGTTAAATTATTTATTTACATGAAATCAAATTTCTCATATAATATTTAATTTCATTTTCACATGTAAAAGAAAAAGATTCTAAAATATTTTCTTATATTAATATAGACAAGCTGATCTTCCAGATATATTTGAATTATCTCTATGGCGTCATATTCTTATTGGTGCTATAGGTAATCAAACTTTTTGTGAAGTTCCTGCTCAATATCGTTCTATTGCTAATGCTTATTGTCGAGCACAAGGTCGAGATGATTGTCCTATGATTCCATGTACTCTTATTTATCTTAGTGATGAATTTACAACATATGTTGAATGTCTTCGAGGTGGAAGAATGGCAATTGGAGTAGAACCTGATTGGGTATGTCGAAAAAGTCCAGCTTTAGAATTATTTTCTAATCCTCGTCGAAAACCATCTTTATCTGCTGAAGCATATACTACATTAACTTCGGAATTATATGGTCAAGCATTAGCACAATATCGTGATGAAGAAACATGTAGATGGGGTTTAACATTGGAAGGTGAATCAATAGGATATTATCCATCTGTTGCTCATAGAAAACGAGTTCTATCATTGTTTGATATTACTATTGGGTATGATCGGCGATTTTTTGATCTTGTTACGGATGTACATTTACCTGATTATGTAGATAAAATAACAAATAACAACAAACAACGATTGACAGTAAAACAAGTACTTAGAAAAAGATTTCGAGGTTTGTTTAATTTTTTTTTTCTTTTCGAAATGAAACTCATTAAAATAGTTGTGTTATTTAAAAGTGACGATTTCTAAAATTATTTCAAATGTATCAACAAAAATATTGAATTCAATAGATGAGATCGAACTAATGTAATGTTTTAAAAATGAACCTAACTATAAACAAAAAATCAAATACATAATTTACTGCTGACTAAGTATTAAATAAATAAACCTAACCTTCATCTATTCCAACGAAACAGTCAAATTTTAGACAATATAAGTCGCACTTTACTAGTAAAATATCTCAACTTTATCGAGCTTAGGAATGAATTATACAATACATCTTTTGCTAGCAAAATTTTTATTATTTACAACTATTTGCGAGCGAATTTACATTTTTGTGTAAAAGTAGTCTGAATAAGATTTAATCAGTTAATCGTAGGAAGACCGTCGAAATTAGAATCCACGCCAAAGCTGAACATAGGACAACGTTTTCTGCTCTATCGCAAGCAACATGACAGAACATAAATTTAGACATCGGCGGGATTGCCTTTTTTTGGTCTTGGTCTCGGTTCGGTCTCAATTAAAATTTTTTATTGCTTTTGGTCTTAATTTCGTTTCTAGAAAAACAAAGTTTTTTAAAAATAATCTGTATGATTCTTTGAATATATATAAAATTAATATTGATAATTTTAAGAAATTAATAGTATGATCATATCTTTTATATGCATGCATCAAGTCACTTCTGTGTCTCACTCAAAATTTTTCTTGGTTCTGATCATATGTCTTAAGAAATTCTTTTAGAGCTCACAGTTTTTGCATAGATACAAAATTTAAATGAATGAGCCTCAATCGGTATGTCACTTTGATAATATCAAAATTTAGGATCTGCAGAATTATGAATACTATTTTTAGTAGGGATCTCCAAGATGATTCCACTTCCGTTTCAGGATCGGAAAAAAGTGATTTTGCGGATCCATAATTTTATCTCAGTTATAAATAAAAAAAAGTCAATGTGTAGATCATTAGTCAGAACAAAATAATAAGTATGACTATATGTAGTCTAGTTCTTGAATAGAAAATATACCGGGACCACTTTGTAGTTCTCTACATAAATTGTAGCTTTATTCTATGCTGCAGGACAATGAGAATCCTTATTTTGACTTTCGGTCATCAAAATTCATATTATAGAAATATTTTAATGCATTATTTTAATGGCACATTCGTCACAGGAAACAAATATTTAAAAAAAAGATATGAGCCTATCCTAGAGAAAGTACTGAGTTCAGGGTACCCATGTACTGAGAAAGGCCTAGCAGGATACCCAATATGAGTACTTCAAAAATTCTCAGTAATTATACTGATGTAAGTACTGAGTGTGGTTTCCATAAAAGTACGTTCACTTAAGAAGTACTTGTATGGGTACTCGCATCTGTAATTTTACTGAGGCAAGCTATACAGGATACCCTATATTTGTCGCGTTATATGTAGCTACTATTCATTCACCGTTTTCTTTTTCACGCACGGCTCCATACAAACAACTGAGTAAGACATAAGAAATGAATCTATTTTCATACTAATTTTTTCTAGATTATTTCTTCACTATGTCTTAGTCGAGAACATGCCGATCTTGATCGTAGATTAAGAGCGGACTACTCCGAAGTGGTCTGATGGATACCTGATCAACTCAAGTCAGGTCAGATCGCGGCATTGCACCTGCTAAGTTTTCGGAATTGAAAAAATTAAATTGAATAAAATCGAAAAAAAATTGTAGTAAATTGCTTTGAGAGAAACAAAAATTAAAAAAAGTTAAAGGTCAGGTTCGATCCTGAATATACTGGAATTTTTGTAACAGGGCACCTAGAAATACTATACAATAGTACCCAATTGAGTATCTGATCAGTAACTTCAAGTATCCAGTTACTACACATTTTGTAGCAGGCTACTTGTTAAAGTACCACTTAGGTACCTGAAAGTACTTTGGTAGCCAAAAGTTCCTGTGACATACTGGTAACAGAGTACTTTTTCGGGTACCTTTAACTCAGTAGATTATCTAGGGTATGGGATTTCATCATCATTATTCTAACATATAGTGAATACTATTAAGAAAAAAAAAAAAGAACAATGGAAAAAGTACTTGATAAACAAAATGATACAAAACAGAGGTGAGCAAAAGGCAACGTTTTCTGTTCTGCTGCCGTACTCCGTCTTGGTGAGCAGTAGCTAGAGTCCATCGGGTCCAGATTCAGAAATTTTTTGTACCCGATGCGCTCTAATGGCAGTACAGGATAAGATATCAGAACCGTCCTGTTCTGATTTACACCCACATCGTTTTGACCTTCCTACAACACACCAATTTATCTAATTTCATATCTTAGTTTTTTATTTTTTTAGGGATGTCACCTGTTCTATGGATAAATAGTAATTGTAATACTCCATCAAATCGTACTGCATATATGCTTGAATTAATGCGTTATGTTCGTGTTGATGTTCGTGGTAAATGTGGAAATCCATTATGGAATGAATCATTATCTGTAATTGATCCTAAAAGATTAGCTACAGAAAAATTAAATCTTGTTCGACAATATCTTTTTACAGTTTCTATTGAAAATAGTTTAGAATATGATTATGTTACGGAAAAATTATGGCAACCATTAGCTGCTGGAAGTATTCCACTTTATTTAGGTGCACCAAATATTGATGAATGGCTTCCATGTTATAATTATTCATGTATTATTCATTTAAGAAATTTTAATTCTGTAAAAGATGTTGCCAATTTAATACATAGTCTTGCAGAAAATAAAACACTTTATGCTGAATATCATCAATGGAGAAATGAAGAAAATGTTCGACCAAGTTTTATCAAAATGATTAATTATTTTCAACAAGCAAATCGACATTCAATTGAATGTCTTCTTTGTGATATGGTTTATAGAAATGATCATGGAACAATTAGACGAAAATTATTAGCAGCTAATAATCCATTTAATGATACATTTCCTTCTTTAGTTTAACAATTATTTTTATTTACTTTTTATTAACAAATAATAAGAGAATATTAATATTTATCTCATTTTATAAAAATTTTATATTTCTATTAGATATTTCTTACAAAGTAAACTTCAAAAATCTATCAAATAATAGAAAATATAATAGAGTTTTATGTTTGAAAGCATCAGTGATATTAAATAATCTTTCGACAATAGGAGATATATAAATTAGTATGAAATTTATAGTCATAAATTAGAGGGAAAATATTTCATATTTCGTCAATAAAATTTTCTAAGACGATTGAAATGAATTAAGGAAACTGGATTATCTCATTGTTATAAAAAACCGAGGTATAAATTGTAATATATAAATTCATGATTCCAATTATTCTGGACGGATCTCTGAAGAGATAAAACCATTCTCAACAAGAAAACAAAAATGAACCATTTTCCGCTATTGAAGAATTTTAATCTTAATGTCATAAAGAAATATCTGTTTAGGAAATACTATTTCATTCTATAGAATTATATTTTTTTCATTTTCTAAAAGATTTTTATTTTTACTTTTCGACTTACTTCTCAAATGATATGAATGACATTGAAACAAATAATTTGATTGTTTTTTTGTTTTTATCCAATAGAATTTCTTTCGAATATCTCCTTGATGTTTGTGATCAACACATTAATGCATTTTTGAAGATAAATATGAATAAATTTGATTTGTAAGGATTACGTTCCAATAGATTAATCAATTTAAAGATTCATTAATAATAATAAATGGTACGTACCCACAAGGCGACGAAGTGAATAATCAATATCGGAAAATGCACCAAGAGAGGGCGCCACATATCTTGCCACTTTTTCAAGAACTTTTGATACTATATTTTGAACTTATAAAGTGATTTAATGATTTTGGTAGTGATAGTTTTACTCGCCCTAGTTCGGTTTAAGAGATCGTCACTGATTGGTCGTTGAGTATGAACCATATTGGCTGGACATAATCATAGAAACATCATATGATGATAAAGACTATTGTCATCATTTTAGACTATTGATAAATCGTCTACGTATGCAAAAGAAATAAAGAATTGTTTATTGCTGTTTGTTATACCATATTGTTCATCGACGTCGTTGCCTGGAAAAATAATTTTATGCTTAATATGTGGAAAAAAAGATCGACAAGCTCGTTGCAAGTATACGCAAATTTGCACAATTGAACGAGAAGAAAAAGTTCGTAAAGCATATCAAACTCGTTATAATAAGGAATTAAGTGGTACACTACTAAATCAATTAGTGCATGCAATTTGCTACAAATCACTTGTTGTTGGAATTGAACCGGTATCTGTCGCAAATAAAATAGGAAGACCAAAACGAAAAAAAAAATATTCATGTCTTGATTCAAATCCTGCTAGAATATTAATGGATATTACAAATCATCCAACAACAATTACTACAAAATCTAATTTCTTTTCTACTGAAGACAGAAACAAATCATTTTATGTTGGTGAAAATAATGAAGTGAGTTTCTTTATGAATGACTTTAGTTTAACGTACAAATGTTTTTTTTTGCTTGTAGAAATATACTTCTGAATTTACAGTTGAGTGCAGCTCGAATGCAGCACCAACATTATCTTCATTAATTGGTATTCATGATCAAATTTCTAGTAGTAGTATATCATTTGTACAATCCGAACAAGATATTATCTCAAGAAATTCTACTGAAGCATCATTGATCACCAGTGGTATAACAGAAGCAACATCCACATATGAAGTGTTTGAACCAATTATAGTAAACTCAAATTTTCAAAAATGTAGATTTAGGTTCTATTAATTTTCTATCTTTTTTTAGAACAATTGTAACGACGTGTTTGCTGATCGACAAGAGGAAGATATTACAACGTCAACTGATATTGAATCAATAGAAAAATATACAATAGATTCAACACAAACAGCATTAACATATGAAGTATTTGAACCAATTGTAGTAAACTCGAATTTTCAAAAATGTAGATTTAGGTTCTATTAATTTTCTATTTTTTTTTAGAATAATTGGAACAATGTATTTGCTGATCGTCAAGAAGAAGAAGATATTACAACGTCAACTGATGTTGAAGCAATAGACAAATATACAATAGATTCAACACAAACAGCATTAACAAATGAAACTATATTTCAAGTATTATCAATGACTGATTTAACTGAATGACATAGATTTTTTAACACTTGATTTTAATTTTCAAAGGATGATACACGTGCAGCTAGTCCCGACGACGATGATTTATCTTTTGAAATGGTCATCAATGGTCAATGTACAAATGAAGTTGTAATACGAAATGAAAGTATAAAACGAAAACGAGATAAATTGAAACGAACACGAAAAAGAGTAATTTTGATAAAATTAGCATTTTATTATTTTACTCATGTTTCCATTTAGATATTTACTCATTCTTTTAAACATCGTCGTCGGTCAATCATCACACAAAAACCATTACCACTATATCCTGATCAAGATACACCTAATGATTTTTATTCAAACAGTTTTGAAGAATTATGGTGGTTGTACTCGTTGCAACTGTTATAAAAATAATTTATCTTGTACAGCTTTTTGTAGATGTCATCAAGATCTTTGTTGTAATAGAGTAAATATTCTGGTTCTTCCAATAACTTTATTATTAGTTTCCTTTTTTTTATTAAATTTTTCTTTATTTAGACTTACAATTCATCAATTCAACAAGTGAAAATCAAGTCGAATAAATTCGGATTAACACCTTCATCAATTCAAAATAATTCATTTCATGTAACATCAATACAATCTCAATCTATCTACGTAAACGATACAGTTGGTATCCAGCTCTCTTTTTTTTCCAGGTTGTTAAAAATTTTTTCATGTTACATTATCTAGAGTATTACTGAATATCATTCTGAGATGGCATCAAATAACTCGTACGTCGATCCAATCACTACATATTCTGATACTAATATATTGAACCCATCGCTACATTCTCAATCAACGAATTTTGCAACTGATCATACATTTTACTTGAAGAAGAATCTTCAAATTACGACGTCGAAACGTCGTAGACTATTATCAGTATTTATATTACTCGTTTTAGTATATTACATTACATTGTGTGCATTTATTTTTTTATAGGAATCTTCTGAAGACGAACGTGTATTTCAATCACCATATGCGTGTTCAACTCCGAAGCTCAATGGAATGAAAAATAATCTTACATCATTGAATTTTGTGAGTATTTCTTATATCTTCACATAAATGATCTGAATCTTTTTTTCTAGAAAACTCCATCACTGACAGTATCATTAACACCTCGTCGCACTCCTCATTTTCGAAAATACTTTCGCACAACGAAAACTGCAAGTCAACCTGATCTTAATTAAACTTTTCTTTTTTATTTCAATGTGTCTCGTTTGTTGTTCTGTTTCTTTATTCTATGGTCTTATTTGTGTTAAATTTCATTATGAAAGCAATTTTTTTCATTGATATAAATAATTTATTGTTTTTTTTGTCTAAATTCTGTATGACCTTCTGTACAGTTTTGAAAGATTTTTTTTTCTACAAAGTACCTTATCTTTTTTTGTCAATCTCTTCATTTATTTAATTGTTCTCTACGCCTATTGAAATTTATGACTAGTTTTAAATTTTTGTATTAAATAAATTATTTCAATAGCAAAACATTTCTATTTTCTCGAAAAGTGATTCATACATACTCTAAATTTTCAAAATAAACATATTATTATGAAAAAAAAACATGCATTTCATCTTAGAAATACATTTATATATCAAAGAGAAATTTTTCGAAATATAAATATTCTTTTTAGATGCGTTCATATTTATCTAAATGATGAGAAATATTTCTTAGGGAAATGATGCGATATGACTCAACGTTGAGATGTGTTCAACCAATCACGTGAAGGCAATACGCCATCTGGAATATCTTTTTAAAGCTACTTTTTTATAGAAAACAAAAAATATAGTTTGATAGAGAATAATTTTCTCTATCTGTCGATGTCCAATTTATGTTCCGCCTCTCCCAAAACCGATAACACCAATCACTATGCGCCGATATTGTTTCTCTTATTTCACTATACTCTTTGCCGTGTGGGTCCGTACCAAAATGTTCGATAATTAATATTGAATAAACAATGTCGGAATCTCATCGAGATCATAATAAATCGTTAAATACATCTTCAAGTAAAAATTATCGAAATAGTAAAGATGAAATTGAACGATATGCTAGAAAACGATCACATCTTGAAATGTAAAATTTTATTATTTTATTATTTTAGTTTTTTTAAATTATTTATCTTTTAGGGAAAATATTGATGCAAAAGTTTATGTTGGTAATGTTTTAACTGAAAAAGTAACTGATGATGAATTATTAAATTTTTTTAAACCATTTGGCAAAATTGCGGGTATAAAAATTGTATTTTTAATCGTTTTTAATTATTATTTAAATTAATATTTTTAGACATACGAGTATTTAAAGATCATATATTCGTGCAATATAATCGAGTTGATGATGCAAAAAATTTAATTAAAGAAGCACAAATACCTTTAATACTTAAAGGAAGAAAACTTGGTAGAAAACAAAAAAAAAAAGATATTTTAAAATGATTGATGATTATATATATATATATTTAATAAATTTAGATGTTTTACCAGCAAGAGATGTTAGGTCAACAAGTACACAATCATCATCATCATCAACGAATCGATCATCAAAAAGGTAATTTTTTTGTTTTGTTTTTTCATAAATAAAAAAGAAATCTAATAATAATTAAGAAGTCATGAAAGAGCTTTTCATCAACATTCATCGAATTATGACACATCTCGACGAAGATTTTCAACATGTACAAGATCAAATTTTAAACCTGAAACGTAATTTAAAAACGTTTTTTTTTTCTCTGATTTTCAAAAAAAAAATAAAATTTGAAAGTTTTAGTGATCGAATTGGAACAGAAATCAATGATCGCATGGATATATCAACAGCAAAATCTGATCCTTGTCGATCTAATAATGATTCAATATCTCGAAATAATCAATTACCTTATACAATTTTAACAGGACTAAAAAATTCGAATGATTTAGTTGATTGTCAAATAATTATTGTTAATACTCGGCAAAGGTATTCTTAATTTATTGAATTAGATTACAAAGAAAATTTTATTTTTGTTTTTATAGAGCTTATGCTGAAGAAATTGAATCTCGTCTTTGTTCTCATGGTCTTGTTACATCAATAATACTTCTTCGAGAAGATTATACTTTAACAGAAGCTATTGAGAATGCTACTCGTTTACAATGTTTGTATGGAATTATTGCAATGCCTATGCATGAAGAACGACGTACTGCATCTTTTCATATTTTATATGGACAAACAGAAGGTGAGAATATCTGTTACATACACAGAAAAATTCAACATATAAAAGATCAGAGAATGTCAGATTCCTACTATTGTCATCAGTTTTGTAATTATTTTATTGAGAGCGGATCATTTACATTACTTAATAGGTTTTTCTACTGATTGTACAAGACGTAGTCAGTTACAATTGTATTAACAAGTTGTGCGACATTCATTTTGTGGATGAAGGAAAGTCTATTTGTCGATAAAAACGATTTTTGGGGGGGGGATCGAGAAATTCGAATTTAGTTGTATGGATTTTGTTGATCGAAAAATCAATTTCGGTAATTTTTCGTTACATTTTACCTGTACTCGGTAATGGTTCGCTATTCGAATCTTCCATCTAGCATTGATTATTTGTTGTTATCACACATCTTATAACTATACGCTCACATCAATAGATCATCCCTATCCGTAATCCAAAAGCTTTGATAATAATATATACTTTGTTAGCAGTCAAAGAATTGACAAACTTAATTGAATTAACGACAAGTAGTGTATATGATCCATTCGTAGTTCAATACAAAACAATTCCTACTTCTCGGTAAGTCGTAAGTGATGAAGATTATCCTGCGAAGACACAATTAACCATTTATTTCTATTAAATAGGACGTTTTTCAATCATGTAAACATTTACTCTTTACTCATGTCATTGAATCACGTAAATAACATCGAAACAACTGGTTTAATGTTTGACATTACGAAAGTTAGACACCGGAAGGAAATATTTAAAACATATGAAAGGAGATTGACATTAATAGTCGATAGATACAGTAAAACATCTATAAGATGAACACCATTGAGACCTCTAAAAACGTGTTCATCTTATAGAGGTTTTGCATAGATTGCCCTGTTACATACATAAAATAATGAGTAGGACTATTTCGATATGAAGTTCACTGCAGATGAATCAAAGAACGAAACCAAATCTTTCATCTAGTGAATGATTTTTTCTGCAATCTTTGTTGAAAATAATTCTTCATCGTCGTCTATTTGAAATCTTTCGTTTCGATGTAGAGTTGAGTATATTGCAAGCTTAGCTACGTAATTTTTTCTGAAAAGGTCAACGTACGCTTCATCATCATCTCTTTATTGTATATAAACAAATGTGCTGTTGCGTTCCAGATGAATTGATCTAGTATCCCTTTAGAATGCACATTATGTTTTGTTTTTTCCTTTTTTCTCACACATATATACATACATACATACGTTGTTGAACGTATGTTCATTATATAGAGGTTTTCTTTGCTGAAGGAACCAAAAAAGTGTTCATTAAGGGAGGTTGTATTGTATAATGAAGTACTCCTGTAATCTATGTTAATGGCCCCTTACGTAACTGGTCATTAGGATGCACAAAAATTTAATCTACATAGAACAGAAGCAATAAACATACATTGTATGCATAAAACTTGATCTGACACATTATCAATAGCTGAAATTGATATAGAAATCTAGGGCATGGAAGATTTGTCAGTGTAGTTATGAGTCCGCATCCATACTCTTTTTGCTAAAAATATTTCAAAATGACAAAAAAATTTATCATTTTAGAACATCGTAATTTAACATTGGACGATGGTATTCATATAATAATAACAAATTTTATTTCATATAAAGAACGTTTTAATAATGAAGAAATAAATTCATATCATGAAAATAATGATTCAATTGGGTATTCTCAAACAAATTCGTCCTATACATATTCTCGTCAATCAAATAATCTTACACAAGAAGAAATAACTCCACCAGTATTAAATCTTGGTGATAGATTACCATTATCAATGTTATTATGTCTTTTAGCTGATGGAAGACAATTAACATTAGAAGAAATAGATCGTGTACTTGTTTATTTACTTGAAAAAAAAGCTAAAATGTTAACATTACCTTCAGGTACATTACCACCATTACCTGCTCAATATGCAACAATGAACACATTGAATCATCAAGCAGGTGCTTTGATTTTGTTTTGCTTTTTTCTTTTTTTTTTATTGAAATAATTTTTAAAGTCAGATGCTCCCTTAATAGAATAATATTTTATTCATATTCATTCTGTTAAGTATTTGTTATTCATCACAAAAAAAAAATCTTCGAAATAATGAATTCGAGATCAGATTTGTATATTAACAAGAGAAAAATTCTCATTAGAATAGAGAATTAAGATAAAATATTTTTGATTATTTGTTGCCACAAAAAAAACATATTAATCGATTAGCATTAAAATTGAGATATGACGAAAATCTCTGTTGTATTTCTTCTGAGTTTATATGAATGAGACTTTGGATTTGTTGGTTCATTCATTTGTTTCGTTGGTATGAATATCTTCTTTTCTAAAAAGGCTCTGGTATTGTATCAGACACAAGAACTGTTCCAATCTCAGATTCATCACTTGGAAAATCATCGAATTCTTCATCGGAAGTATCTTCATCGATTGCTGAACAAATTCGTCAAATATTATCAACAAACATAGTCAAACCAAATACTTTAACTGGAGAAACAAATTCACAATCTGTTATAACAAAAGCATCATTAGATAAATTACCCGATATTGTTAAAGTTGAAAATACGAATATTCCACAACCAAATAATAATGTTGCAGAAGCAGCAAAAGAATATGTTCAACAGAAAAAACAATCTTTATTTTCGCATCCAAAACTTGAAGCATTACCTATTGTATCATCTGGATTTAATTATACATCACCATCGGTAACGACAACTGGATCTTTGAATTCATTTGCTGCACCGAATTTTTCATCGTATAATTCAGTAACACCATCATTACCGTTTAATTCAGCTTTAAAAGCAACAACATCAGTAACAGTTCCCAATTTTGTTTCACAACCGTCTCAATATTTCTATCAAATTCCACCACAAAATATTTATCAATCTCCATTGAATTCGACAGTAACTGATCCAACAGCTGGAATTTTTCAAGCATATTCCCAATTTAATGTACAGCCGACAGCAAATTCTTCGATTGTTAGTCAACAAATAAATACACAACAACAAATTAGAAAATGAAAAAAAAAAGAATGTTTTTGTGAACTTGTTTGTTTTTTTTTTTTTGTTTTGTTTTGTTTGTAAAGACTGTTTACCATTAGATAATAAACTGTACCATATAGAACGAATGTAACGTATATAAACTATTGTTCGTTCATCCATCTTTGAATGAATTTAATTTGTTCTAAAGAGTAGATAAATATTAAATGATAGACAAAAAAAGGGAAATTCTATAGATAGTCAACTATCTATGAGTCATTGACAGATGCAAAAATAAGCTGGATATTGACACAAGAGCTCAATAATGATAAACATTTTGTTTTTTCCATGTTGATGATTATTATTCGTATTTTGCATGATGCACGATTCGTGAAATAGAAAATTTAGCATTACAGCTTATTTTAGTAATTACAACGCTCAGTTTTTTTACTAGCAGTTTATAACATTTTTGAAATCATCAATATTATTCTCAATATATATATATATAGTCATACCGTCTGGTTCAGTTTGTTATTCTCGCAAGTGAGATATCATTTGATATCAGAAATCTCCTATTTCAATGAGAAAGTATTTGTTTTATTTAACTCTTTTTTAGTACAGAAATTCATTGATATGAACATAACTAGATTTAAATTCAGAATTTGTTCATTTCATATTTGTCTTTTATTACAATGATCAATTTGTTACAAAAACTTCATTGAAGAATTATGGTGATATTAGTCCGCAAAGGAACAAGTCGATTTTCATTTTACTGCATAGTCTAGAAAATAAGCAAGTTAATTTCATATGAACTTCTATAAATAGTTTCAAGCCATCTTCTAAACTATAGAAAAAAGAAAACAAAGCAGTTATCAATAATTTTAAGAACGGAAATATTAAGGATGTGGGTGTGTGTGTCGATCTCTCTTCATCGAATTCCACCTACCTTCACATTCTACACCTACATCACCCAGTCAAATCTGAGAATCGAATTTGGTGCATCCTTACCTGTACCCACACCTAGACACTCGATCTCAAAAACTTTCGATGTTAGTATATTATGCACTTTATTGATTAGAAGTTTGAATCTAACTTTCCGCAAAATGGACATAGTAGGAGAGATACATATCATCCTTTAAATCACTAGCAATTGGTAACATTCAATAAGTGCAATCAAAACGCACACTACTGATGTAAAAATATCTATTATTACTTGAAGTTCTCTAAGGAAATACTTAGGGTTATCCAAAAGTAGTGGGCCAGGTTCTTTTTTTTCTTATAAATAGGTAAAAAGAAATTTCTTTTTTTACGAATAGATAGAGCGTCTTTCGCTCTATCTTTCTATGCTATTTGATCACTATTCAACTGGTATCATAATAATAAAATTTCGATAAGAACTTTTTTTGTGTAACTCCAGCTGGTAGCAATAGTGCATATTATCATCCATGCGTGTTTTCTTTGTTTTTTTCTCATCATCTAATAGGTTTTATTAAAAAACAAAATACAGCACAAGATGCAGCGTAAAAAGCTCTACAATTTACATACGACCCCTTTTTTTTATAGTTGCACTTTTTGTTTTCAAATTGGACAAAACTTTGAGCGACCAAATTTTGACCGTACGAAAACTGGTCGCACAGAATTTTGCTTTTTTTGAAAACAAAAAGTACACAATTAAAATAAACTGTTTTTTGTAAATTGTAGAGCTTTTCACGCTGCATCTTGTGCTGTATTTTGTTTTTTAATAAAACCTATTAGATGATGAAAACACGCATGAATGATAATATGCACTATTGCTACCAGCTAGAGTTGCACTAAAAATGTTTTTGTCGGAATTTTATTATTATGATACCAGTTGAATAGTGATCGAATAGCATAGAAAGATAGAGCGAAAGACGCTCTATCTATTCGTAAAAAAAGAAATTTCTTTTTAGCTATTTATAAGAAAAAAAAGAACCTGGCCCACTACTTTTGGATAACCCTAAGTAATTTATTATGAAAATATTGATTTCGCATATTATTTGTGATCTTCAAATTATCTAATGAGATACTTGAAATATTCTTTAACATATAGGTGTCTATTAATATTTATATTGTTACTATATAACTTTGGAATCTAATCATGCCTGATGATGACTGTCTAAACAATAGTCGAAATTCGTATAGGAGGGCATTTGAAAATTGATTCTCTGTATAAGAGTTGTATGTTCTTGTAGAGCGTTCAATTCTGCATCTAATGATGTATGGTTTGTCTTTTTGTAATGAAGCCTGAGTTGAGACAAATCGATCACAATATCTGAACTCAGTACATTGAGGTGTGACTCACCTCTTTTTTTCCTATCGCAGGGCATTTGAAAAATTGATTTTCTCTATAAGAGTTCTATATTCTTGTAGAATATTCAATTCTGCAAACTTCTATGAGGGCAGTGAATCGTATGTGCATGACTTGATTTTAGTTCACATTTTTTTTCTTTTTTTTATCACTAACCTAATTTCTAAGGATTTGTGAGATCGATAGAAATCAATTATTGATAAGAGTTGTACACCAATCCATGGAGCATTAAATTCTCTAGAAGTGGGCGTACTATTCATCTCAAGGCAATGGATTGTATGTGTATGACTTCGTTTTCTTTCAAACTTTTTTTTCATTTTTTTTTTGTGAATCACCTAATTTTTAAGAATTTCTCACGTCGATAGGAATCAATTATTGATAATAGTTGTACATCAATCGATGCAGAATTAAATTCTCTACAAATTGGTGTACAGTTCATTTCGGGGCAATGGATTGTATGGTCTGTAGTGATAATGTGAAAACGTATGTTCGCGGAAATTCGCGATAGGTGTTGTAGTGAGTGAATGATAATTTTTTTTCTGAAATTTTTCGTCATTTATTTTGATGGGATTATTAATTTTTAAGGTGCTGTAGAAAAATTTGTTTGGTTACTAAGGAAGGTTTTGGTGGTATTTTATGGATTACGAGTGGTAAAATATGCTCGAGCGCTGATTGGTCGGTTGGGAGATCGATTCTGATTGGTGTCCGTGCTAGCTTTACATCGATGTTCCCATGCGTCTTCTGTCAAGAGCTACTAACGTATTATTGCAATTTTAGATCCCGCCATGAGATACACGAAAAAATCGAAGTATGGTATTTTGACCTGCGATTTTGCGTATAGATAGGTCTGATGTTCAATAAGATGTTCTGAAAGTTTCAACTCAAAACAACGTTTCTTTCTTGAGATTTTACAGTTTCCAATACCGAAAAATTGTGACATTATGTTAGAAATATCGAAGTTTTTAGCTCTTTAATATTTCGAGATTATATATACGCGGTGAATTATTTCTATATTACATTTATGGTCTTCCTTCTTCTATACTTTGTTGACTAAGTTTAACATCATATTCTTTCTCTTCATATTCATATATAGAGCAAAATAATGCGTAAAAAAAACTTGTTGAAAAATCATCATCATCGCGTTAGGTTGATGGTACCGACCTTACGTCAACATAATGTATATATATCAGGAGTTTTTTTTATCCATTATATACGTCAAAGAGTCGGCTACAAAATGTCTTTAGAAGGTTTCTCTTAAAGTATTGAACATTCCCAGAAAAACGAAGGACAAACAGGTCACCCTCAACTTTTTGTCCTTTTTTCGTCATCGCGTTTTGCTATCTATTTTGCTATAACTTTCTAACACCTCATTCAAACGAGCTCATTTTTTAAGGGACCCTGTAGGAGAGAGAACCACATCTTCTAACAAAACAATGACTCTCCTGGGCAACCTGGTTGGTGAGAAAACTTAAGCGAATTGTGGCAAAACGTCTTCGCGTTACGCTCATTCAAGCCGATAATTATATTCATTTGAATTGAAATTTAAATTAATAGATTGAGGAAAAATAAATTAGTATTTTTTATTTTTTTTGATAAAATTTATTTCTTTATTAATATTTAATAAAAGATCAAATTAATTATTTAATAAATAAATATATTTTATAGGAAAATATCTAATTGAAATAAATTAATTCAATATAAAATTTTCGAAGAAAATAATAAATCTCATTTATAATATTAATAGAAGAATATTTTTCGATGAGATATTTCAAATTGATAATTAAATCTAATTTAGATAAGTATATGATCATTAATCTAAGCAACTATCTTACTAGATTATTCTATCAATTGATTAAAAAAATCTTTTTCGGATTTATATGAAGAACATACGCAGAACTTAATATAACTAAAGAAACTCTTATAGAATTTCTTTCAATGGTCCTTTTAACTTAAATATGAACATTTCAATATTAGAACTAAAAATATCGATCAATTGCTTATTATCTATGATTACAATATGAATATATATGATATGATTGTATAGAAAACATAATATTATTGAAAAAATCATATTATGATGTTTATCAAATGATCTGACTTTTATTTAAAAAAAAAGAATTGAATATAAATATTTTAATACAATAGTATTATTTAGAATAGATATTTTATACATCATTTTTTTTATATTCAATTTATTTTTCTTTTAATAAGATTAACAATAAGTAGATTACATTAACTTCAACTTGAAAATATTACTCG